TCTGCAACCTGCAGGTTCAACCTCTGCAACCTGCAGGTTCAACCTGTGCAACCTGCTGCTTCAACCTCTGCCTCTGCAACCTGCTGGTTCAACCTCTGCAACCTGCTGGTTCAACCTGTGCAACCTGCTGTGGTTCAACCTCTGCAACCTGCTGCTTCAACCTCTGCAACCTGCTGCTTCAACCTCTGCAACCTGCTGGTTCAACCTCTGCAACCTGCTGGCTCAACCTCTGCAACCTGCTGCTTCAACCTCTGCAACCTGCTGGTTCAACCTCTGCAACCTCCAGGTTCAACCTCTGCAACCTGCTGGTTCAACCTCTGCAACCTGCTGGTTCAACCTGTGCAACCTGCTGGTTCAATGTGCAACCTACTGCTTCAACCTCTGCAACCTGCTGCTTCAACCTCTGCAACCTGCTGGTTCAACCTCTGCCTCTGCAACCTGCTGGTTCAACCTCTGCAACCTGCTGGTTCAACCTCTGCAACCTGCTGTGGTTCAACCTCTGCAACCTGCTGCTTCACCCTCTGCAACCTGCTGCTTCAATCTCTGCAACCTGCTGGTTCAACCTCTGCAACCTGCTGGTTCAACCTCTCTGCAACCTGCTGGTTCAACCTCTGCAACCTGTTGCTTCAACCTCTGCAACCTGCAGCTTCGACCTCTGCAACCTGCTGGTTCAACCTCTGCAACCTGCTGGTTCAACCTCTGCAACCTGCTGGTTCAACCTCTGCAACCTGCTGTTGATGTTGGGAACTTGCACCGGGGAGGGTTTTGGTGGGTTTGCGCGGTTTTCGGCGGGTTTGGTTGTGCTCTTGGCGGTTTTTGGTCATTTCAAATTTCGATTCTGGATGGGGAAAGGGCCCACGGGGACACCGCCAGAATTGGGCCTGCGACCGTGCCCAAATCCCCTAGGGAGGCAGCCGCCAGCCCCCAGAACTATCTGGCCATGGCCTAATGGGTAAACGTCTGCCTCCAAAGCCCTCCTCGCAAAGGCTGCGGGCTCAATCCCCGGGGGTGTCATTTGGGCCCTTTCCCCACCCGGAATCGAGATTTTGGGGTGACCTGAAGCTCTGGGCTCTCTGGAGACTTAAGAAACGCTATTATAAGGGCTGCAAATCACACCAAATCCGTGCAAATGCACATTAAACCGTGCAAAGACATACGAAGTTCGTGCACATGCACACCAAGTTCGTGCTAATACACACGAAATGCGTGCAAATACACACCAAATCCATGCAAATACACACTGAATCCGTGCAAATACACGCCGAATCCATGCAAACACACACTAAATCCGTGTAAAGACACGCACACTAAATCCCTCTAACTACACACCAGGCACACAGTAAATGCGTGCAAATACACACGGAATCTGTGCAAATACACACACTACATCCCTGTAATTAGACACCAAATACTGCGTGCAAATACTCACGATCCGTGCAAATCCATGCAAATACACACTAAATTCGTGCAACTACACAGGAAGTGAGTGCAAATACACACCAAATCCGTGCAAATACACACGGAATCCGTGCAAATACATCTAAATCCGTGAATCCGTGCAAATACATACTAAATCCGTGCAAATACACACTGAATCCGTGCAAATACACACTAAATCCGTGCAAACACACAAATCCGTGCAAATACACACTAAATCCGTAAATACGCATTAACAAAATAGGCTTCAATAAAGGCTTGGCTAATAAAGCTTTTCATGCGGCTCAATTGAGCAGTTGCTGAGTCATGCAATTATAATTCTTCCCCCTAAACCCTCAATCTATAGACCCTAAACCTTCCCCCTAATTCAAATTAGGGTTTAAAGGGCGGTGCTACTTCCGGGTGGATCGGGGGAAAAGTGTTTTTATAATTAGGGGGTCCTTTAATAAAAGGGGGAGGGGATTAGCGGCCTAGCCCATCTTCCCCTCTAGGTTCTCCGAATTCAAGAATCCATCCAGGTCACGGAGAAGCACCTGGTGAAGTGCACGAAGAGAAGCACCGACAGGCATCATTGCTGATCCTGTAACGCAGCCATGACACCACAACCGCCAGGAGGGCAATCAAGATACTCCCGGTCCTGAGTATTGCCGCTGCTGCGAAGCAGAATGTTGCTACACTGCAAGGCAAGCCTTCAGAACAACATTGTGCCAAGCGTCAATGCCAGCAGCCCGAAAGGCCCGTCGACACGGACGCCGACGAGGGCAAGCAGAATCTCCAGGAAACGCTTTGGCCTGAAAGATTGGAAGAACAATAATGCGAGCTTGTGATTATTAAAGGTCCCCTCAATAGAGCGAAACTCGGCCGGGAACTCAATAATAAAGGTCCCCTCAATAGAGAGAAACTGTGCCTGCACGTAATGATAAACCTCCCTCAATAGTCGTGTGCTAAGTTTTTAAAGGCTTAGGTAAATTAGCATTCCTACTACACAGTGACGCCCTGGAAGAGGAGAGACAGAAACAGGCAAGATAGAGGAAACACAGAGAAGAGAGATAGCCAGCCAGCCAGGCTTAGGGTTTAGAAGTTTAGGGGGCCTCCTGTCCTGTGGCGAGAGGGACCTTGGAGCGCTTGAGAGCCTCTGTCCGCATGAGGTAGCGGAAGAGGTACTCGTGGTCGCAAAAGAGCGGCATCCAATAGGTTTCTTATATAAACCGCTTATGAAAAAGCCACCCCATCAAGTTTTCTAAGGGGTAGTATACGATACCTGCCCACCCCACAATAGCTCGGATGAAAAGCCCCCTCAATAGCTCAGCGGCCTGCCGTGGGAGGCCAGCAAGGCAGGATCCCTTTCTGTATTCAAAACCAGAAGGCTTCTATATAGAAGCCTAAAGCCTCCAGCCTTCAGGGATTCAGCCCAAAGCTCCAAACTCTGGCTTTGCACGGCTGCCAGATCTATAGGTTTCTTTTCTAAACCCGCCGTTAAAAAAGCCATCCCATCAACTTTTCTAAGGGGTAGTATACGACAGCTTCCCACCCCACAATAGATTCAATAGTTCGGATGAAAAAGCCCCCCTCAATAGTGCAGCGGCCTGCCGGGGGCCTCCAGAACAGCAAAGCAGAATCCCTTTCTGTATTCAAAGCCAGAAGGCTTCTACTGGCCTACTACTGTACTACTATACTACTGTACTACTGCACTACTACTGTACTACTACTGTACTACTACTGTACTACTACTGTACTACTACTGTACTGCTACTGTACTGCTACTGTACTGCTACTGTAGTACTACTACTACTACTACTACTACTACTACTACTACTACTACTACTACTACTACTACTACTACTCCTGCTGCTGCTGCTACTACTACTACTGCTACTAGACTTCTACTACACTACTACTACTATACTACTACTGTACTACTACTGTACTACTGTACTACTGTACTACTGTACTACTAACTGTACTACTACTGAGAGCCCCGGCCCCCAACAACTTCGAACCCCCCAAACAATCTATTGCGTGGTCTTGGTTGTTCGGGGGTGGGGGGGCGGTGGCTTAATAATCAGGAGACCACACTAAGTCGGCACTCTGCTGCAGAATCGCCAGTTCAACACACTCAGGTCGTTCGACTTGGTACTATGAAGACCGTGTTTTTGCCCTCTGAAGTTGCAGATGCGCCTAGCATCTAGATTCTAGATGTATCTAGCCAGTTCTCGAAATCGACCACGGAGTGTTTCTTTTTCACTGGAGTCTTGGTGACCTCCAATATTGGAAAGCGTGCTGTGCAGCAACGCTTACAACTGCGACTGGATGTTGCGCGGCAGGCCACTCACATCGTTTAAAGGAGTGAACGAAGCCTGCTAAAAGCATGACTGCAGTTTGGGACGACCGAGTTCTGCCGCACTTTCCACCGAAGACATCAAAACTGCAAGGTCTGTGGATCGGTCTTGAAGAAGCTTTAGTTAGGGCCTCAGTTCCTTGATTGGACTCTGCGCATGTCTTTACGCTTGCAGGTAGAGAGGTTTGCGGATACGTACTTCATTTTCTCCTGGCCCGCATGCACACACTCTTCACAAGTTGCCGAGATGTTTGCCTGTTGCTGCCACGGGACATGTACTCGAATGCGTGGAGGAGGATCGCAGCGACAACCCAGGCGCTCCCAAGTGCACCACGAGTGACAGAACGGCCGGCACGTGCCCGCTCGAGCCTGAAATCATGGAAGGGTTCTGGAATGTTCGCCAGGCAGTTCTGGCCACTGGAGCTCTCCTTCATACCGGGCTCTTTTGAGTCCGTCACACGATGTCTCAGTAGCAGGTAAGTTTAGCCGTCTGGTGCTTGAGGGCGTTTGAGCCCTTCGGAACGCGGCCAAGCGGCATCTGCAAGGCAGCTCTCATTTGGGCGCGAGCTTTCGCACCGACCTCCTGGCGAAGGTGCCCCACGCAGACAGACACGGCCTAATGGCGCGTTGGGAACATAACCTAGGTAGGCGTGGGGGCATGTGGGGGTCTTATCTCCACAGACTCCTGGAATGCACTGCGAATTCATGCTTTTGAGCTTCAAAAACTTCCCGTTCAACGGCCCAGCTGTTCCAGCTTGGATTCTTGAGCCTGGTGCACTATACGGCATCTCTCCATAGCCTTCGAGTGCGCATATGCGCGCTGTAAGGAGAGCCCTTCCAGTCTTCGAAAGTTTCGGACATCGGTCTCCCGAAGATTCCCGAAGTTCGCGCGAGAAACCTTTTTACACTTGCATGGCGAAGCTCGATTGAACTTTGTCACGCTGTTACGTGTTGATGCCTTTTGTCCTTTGCCAAGGACCCGTTTATCGCAGTCTCTTGCTCAGGTTTAGCATTTCTTCTTCAACACGTGCGATGTTGCGTCAGGATGGATACAACCAATTTCCGGGCTTCTCCCTTCAGGCACGTTAACTCCTCCATCTATTAGCTGATGTGCAGCAACTCAAGCAAATTCCATTGATGGCACATTGCTTACTCCATGTCAGAGCATTGGTGGACTTGTAGCTGCCGTTAGAAAAGTGAAGTTGCACGGTGCTTGCACTGGCGTCTAGAGCAGCAAGCGACTCTCCAGCCTCAGCACCGGGAACGCTGCGCAGCTGGTCCAGGGCTGCATGGAAGTTGTTATCGCCTTGGCAAGGCAAGGATCTGAGGTTGTGTTGTGGCCACGCGTGCCGCATCTGCGACGGGTGAGGCTCTGGCATGCAACGAGGGCAGCACAACAGGTGTCGAGATCACAGCCCGTCACCTGCCGCGCAACCGAGGCGGTGACATGCAGAGAATACTTGCGGAATATGCGGGTACGATGCAAAGACATGCAAAGACGACAAGAATGATATGCGCGAGATTTGCATCTGACAAGACAGAGCCCCACAGAGAGACAGAGACAGAGAGAGGCAGAGAAAGAAACACAGAGAGAAAGAGAGGGAGACAGAGAGAGAAAGAGAGAGACGGAGACTGACAGAGACAGAAAGGGAGAGGGAGGGAGGGGCAGACAGACAGAAAGAGGGGAACACGAAGGTCAAAACTTTTCGGCCGATATGCCTTATCACGTGGTGTACCTAAGCTTCTAAACTCTACATATCAAAAGCTGGCTAAACAGAACCTAGAGGTGTCGGGCTCATACACGTACACATATACATCTGTGTGTATATGTGTATATATATATATATCCATATATACACTTATATATACACATACATACATACATACATACATACATACATACATACATACATACATACAGTGTATACATATGTTTATGCTATGTTCACAGGATCTCACAGATGTAACTGACATGCATATACCGTGTATTGGTATACACATCTGTACATGTCTGCATGCAATTATGCACACATGCATATATGAAGTTACACATACATGGATGCATGTATGTACATGTATGCATATGTATGCTTGTAAACATGTCAATGTAGGCATAAATGCATGTATGCATGCAAGTATATAACAGTCAGAGTGTATGTATGCATGCATGCAGTATGCATGTATGTATGTATGCATGTATGTATGTATATACGCACGTATATCTGTACTTATGTATGTATGTATGCAGGGTGACGGGATGTTTCAGAAACCATGCTCAACGCATGAAACCCCGCTTTCAGCAAACGTGCACGAAATGTGAAACGGAACTTCCAGATACCTGTAGGATATTTCAGAAAAAAGCGCGCGAGTTTGCGGACATGTAAAACGCCGAAAGTCGTCCGAAAAACTACCGAAAAAATCGCGAAAAATCGGGCCCAACGTCAGCATGGGCCCTAAATTGGGCCCTAAACCTTAAACCCCAGGCATGTATATCCAGCATGGAGATGCATATTGGCCCTGAACCCTAAGCCCTAAACCCCATGCAGCATGACCAAGCCGGGAAATGCATGTGGCCTAAGCCCTGAACCCCATGCGTACACCAAGCCTGGACATGCTTTAAAACAAGTTGCAAGATATGCACTATATCTCTGAAAAACTGTTCCATGTTTATGAAACATGGGTCGTGAACATCCCGTGTGTTTCTGAAAAAAGGCAGCGCGCTATCTATCTATCTATCTATGTATGCATGTATGCATGTATGTATGTATTTCTGTATTTATGTACGTATGTACATATGTATGTATGTATGTATGTGTGCACGCATGTTACCCGGTGTGCTAGCCTCGGCCAGCTTCAAGACGACACCCGGCTGAGGTTCGTCCTCATCCTCGCATGTAGGTCGGTCAGCTTCAAGTGCTATTGGTTCCGGATGAAGAGAGATGCTTAGGCTGCACGTGTTGGGATTTTCCGCAAAACATCCAGATCGACGCAAGGTGCTGGACGGTGCATCGTAAACAACGGCGCATCTTTGTCAGGTTGTGCCTGTTGAACGCAGGGCACATTGCGGCAGCTCATTGCGGCTCTGGTGGAAGGGGCGACTGGGGGCACGAAAGCCTTGCGATTGGGGGCACGAAAGCCTTGCCGCACCTTGATCGTGGGCAGAGGAAAGCTTGTAAAACACTGTTACAAGTTGGGACAGAAAGGTTTCGCGCAGCTGTTCCGACGATCACGGCATGCATTGCCTTGCGTTGTGCTGATGGTCGAGCTCTCGCTCTGGGCCCAAGAGCTGTCAGAGCGCTGGAGTCCACTGCCGGGGTCTCTGGAGGTCAGTGTCCAAGATCTCCAAGCCAGATCGACGTGGTGAACATCTACTATGCATGAAATACTGCTCGTTTCGAGACCTCACATATTTTGTACTTCCATAGAAACGAGTGTGGGCGTCTGTCACGAGTGTACTGCGACTTAATGATCCATATGTCCACATGCGCTTGCTCTGGCCAAGTCCTTCATCTCGGGAAACGTTGCTGAATCCTGCAAGCAGTTGCAAGCTTACCAAGCTTCACCAAGCCCGTGTCCCTGTCGACTGCTCCATGCTCGCTACACGTGTTCAGCAGTGGGAGCTCTGCCTGCAGAAGACCTCCATCACGATGAGGAAAGGGTGCCGTGCTGCTGGTCGAGCGGCCTGGCGATACCTCTCTGCAACGAAAACGGGGGGGGGGTGCCCTGCAGAAGTGGGTCCTGGCTTTAGAACGACTTGAATTTTCTTGCCGCCATCGGCGGTGAAAGCAGCCACAGATTGCGCTGCAAGAGCACGCCTCCAGATGGCCCTCCATATGAAGCACGAAGTCACGGCGCTGAATTCGCCATCCGCGGTGCCATCAGCCCGCTTGCATTGTGCTCCGGCATGAAAACAAAGGTGCTAGTTTGTGATGGAGTAGACTGCATCTGAATCTGTATGCGTCTTTCGACAAAGCTTGGTGGTCAATGAATATCTTTCATGACGGTGCCTTCCAGTTTATCAGTTTCCAAGCCAAGACACGGATGGTCCGACTCTAGACTAGACTCGACCGGTAGCACTTGGAGACTCCTGGCGCTCTGAGGAGTCGGCGCTTTTTGACCAGTTCAGCCAACCTGTGACTGGCGACGACGCTAGGTCGCGCACTACGAACGCAGTGCAGAAACCTCTTCCAGTAGCCCCAACACAGCGGAAACTCTGTGAGGAAGGCTTCATACCTCAGTGGCATGCAGAACACTGCCGCAGCAAAAGCAATAACTACGCTGAGTGTGTAAGAGTCTTGCAAACTTAGTCTCTCCTCAACTGACCCATGGGTCTCAACCTGTGCAGGCATTCACACGGCTTGACAGCGGCAACATGTCCGGTTTCGTCCGCGTAGCGCATGAAAGCCTTGCGATGCTGTGCAACAGTCTGGGGCGGCAGCTTGCTTGATCAGTGCCAGCCACTCGTCAAAGGCTCGGGGATTTGTTCTCACAGCCGAACATAGATTTCCAACCTGATCGCGAGACTAATGTCGTCAGCACGTATCCAACAGCCTTCCGCGACCCGCCACAGCTATCCACAGCTCCTCTTAGACATGGCAAGCCAAAAGATGAGACCGCCAGATACTGCCAGTTATGGCCAATGTCATGATGAGCGGCCCGGCCTCTGTTGTGCTCAAAGCGCCCACGCTGAAGCACGGCAACACCTGCTTCGGCCCCATGTCGGCAGGCACATGACTTACTACTGTCTGCCGCGAGCTCCCGCTCGCTAATTGCACTCTGAATGATCCCCTCATGCGGAAACAACCGCACTTGTCTCCTGTACTCGGTTGCACACCCCCAACGAGCAAACATGCTTGACCGACTCTTCATAGTCTGATTATCGTCGCACAGAAGGACAGCGACACTGCGGTAATCTGGTGCCACTGTGAGCAGCATGGATGCTATGGAAATGTTGTACGAGAAAAGTTGTGCACAAGGCTGTTCCAATTCATTTATGACCCTGGATGTGGCGCTAAACCTGCAACTACATATGAGCATGGACAACTTCCGACCACAGTCTTCGAAGCTATACGTTCATACCGTGTAAACTCATCTGCCTTGTCGGTGCCCTGTGGGTAGGCCCCCACATGCCCCCCTGACAGAGCCTCTGGGGTTTCATGCCCCAAGCTCATCTTTTTTCCAGGGTTCGGCCCGGGCAAGGATTGAGATTGCCAACATTTGGGGGGCGTGGCCCCCCACCACCGTTCTGCGACTTTGCTCGAACAGACAGCTGCGAGGGCGCAGCGTTCTCGGTAGCAGCGGTAGCACGACACACGCCCAGACAACATGTTCGCTCTACGGCTCCGCCAAGACACCGCGCTCCATGCCACAAAAGAACTGCGAAACGACAGGGCGGGAACCACACGCAGGAGTCAGGAACGGCAAGACAGCCTTCCGACAGCACGACACACGAATTACTTGAGGCTGGGAGTCTGCGAGCAGACACCCAGAATGAAGTAATAACGTTTCATGACGTTCCCAAGCCCGTCATTGAAGGGTGCTGAAGGGGTGCGCGAAACGCCCACCCCTCCCAGCAGGTCGTGAGCATGAATGTGCTCAAGTCGATGGGAACCTTGAACACCGTGCAGATCAGCATCCCGAGGAGTTCACCCAGCATCTCCAAGCAATCTCCTGCCTACACCCGAAAATACACTGTCGCACGAGCGGCTAAGACAGCATTCCTCGCTGCAGAAAAGGAACATGCAGGAACATTGGACCATAAGTAGCCAAGCTAAGCTTCACGTGTGCCCTCAATCGCTTACAGTAGCCGCGGTAGCTCTGGCCCTCTCTCTCTCTCTCTCTCTCTCTGTCTCGCACTGCAGCTGTCAGGGTCAGACGTCATAAGGTTGTAAGGTTGTTACGGAGACCATCCTCAAATCTAACGGTGACAGATCGGCCACCACGAACTAAGGCATCAGCAGGGCTGTGCAAACCACAAGTGTGTTGGAATTTGCGGCCGTCGTCGCCGAAGTCTCCTGACGGCTTCGCTCCCGACGCATAAAGGAGCTAAAGTGTAGTGGTCCTCCCTGCGCGCGCACCTTCGTCAAGGCACTGCTGGAAAGCGGCGTTGCACTCGTCAGTCTCGAGTTGGCGCTTGGGCGTGGAAAGGATCCTCTCAGCTTCGAGAGAGCTCTGAAATCTCTTTTCACGCCGACGCCGGACAGCAAGAAACTTGAAGTTTGGCGCCTGTCTTGCAACGATGTGCACTCCATGGCCCTTGGCATCTGCGAAATGATCGCTCGACAGTGCGCATAAGACTCGTCATGCGCAAACACACAGACACACACACACACACACACACACAGACACACATGTACGCACAAAGCTCTTTCAGAAGCATGAGGTTGCCACAGCGGTGGCGACAGAGGCGCAAACACGCAGTCTTCTAGTAAGGCTGCATAAGGATCTTCCATAGAGAGCCGACTAGGCATCACAGATTCTCGCTGCCGACATGACACACATGCTCGTTCGAATCGCAAGACGCACACAGCTCTCAGCGAAGCATGTCCTCTGCTGCTGGGACGACACCTCAGGCACAGTTGATTCAATGGGGCAGGAAAAGTTTGGTGTAGATGCAGAACGTCAGACAGACAGACAGACAGACAGACGGACACCTCCTGTTCCGTTCAGTTCTTCGAAAGGCGGCGTTTGTTTGTCTTCAGGTGCTTGCACCTGCAAACATCCAACCCACTTTTCTCTCCGTGGTATGTTTTTCGGGCACAGCGCCAAGGCAAGCTGAGATCTGCGCCATATGTCGGAGGCGCTGAACCTGAAATGTGATACCAGGGACATTCGAATTCAGACTTGCACGGCCGCGTTGGGTCACCTCATCTTCTTGTCCAGCAGAGGTGGCTGCCTCGCCACACACACTGTCCTGCACAGCTTGCAGAGCTAGATGCGCTGTCCAATGCACATTTCGTCCAACAACGCAGGAAATCCAGTCCTCAACGCCGGTTCCAACGGAGACCAGGCTGTGTTGGCCTGGCAGCTCTGACCGTGAACATCTTGCATTCGCCACGATTTGTGTTTAGAGTTCCCGACAAACGGCTCCAGAGTCAGACGCGACAGAGGCGATGCTGGAAGTCTCAAGACCAGCAGGCAACCTCTGCGCCGGGGCCCAGCACAAGCACAATCTCAGCCAACAGCAACCGAGAATGCCGGGCCGCATGGGATCCGTGTCATTGGGCTCAGACTCCTGCCAGGCTGCTGGGCTTGCTATACTCCGTTTGGTCTGTGTGAAGCAGCCTGCTTCTGGGTGCGGTCGCCCAGCCCAGTCTTTCTCCACCTTGGACAGCAAACTCCGACAAAGCTTTCCGAGACGGATTTGCTTTCAATTCTGCTGGCTGCTTTCCGAGGATGCTCTGCAAAGATTTGAAGACACTGGAAGGGTCTCAAACCGTGGGCATGGACCTGCTTGGCACAGGAGCTTTGGATATGGCCTTTTCGTCCTTGAGTGGGGGTGTTCACATTGGGCCTTGGGCCAAGTTGCAACATTCTACAAACTCCTGGTCCTTCCTTCCGTGAATCGACACCGGGGTGGCTAGCCCATCGGATGTCCTTCTTTGGTGCGGCTTAGCCGTTGCAGCATTTTCGGATGGCTTAGTTAATATTCATGTGGCTTAGTGCTCGAAACAAGTATCTTGTGAGTTTTCAATCAACAGACTACGTTCAATCGCAGTCCTGTTGTCCTGTCAACAGTGTCTTGAATTAGAAATACACGACGAAAATTAATCAAGTTGGCCAGTTCGTGGCCTCAGACAGTGTGAGCGTCATTGCCAGATTTTAGCGAGGCTAGAACCCTCTCCACCCTCGATGTCTCGTGGCACTACTTCGAGAATGCTTCATGTCTGGGACCGCAGCCGAGTGCCAGCAGCTTTGGCAACGCCTGGTCAACGGGCTGCAGCCGCTACGCATGTTGGATGTTGGATTATGTTGAACAACAGATGCATGCTCTTTCTGTCTTGGTCTGAGATGCGGACCTTCGGTTCCATGCCGACTTCGTCCGGCACTCCCTGGCCTTCACAAGACCCGCGTGTGTGCCTTCCGTTGCCTGTCCCAGGTGGGGGAACTTTGAGCCTGCGCAATGCGTCCGGTCATGTCATCCGAAGCCGCGGAAACATTATTACTTTTTGGTGGTTTGCCAGATGGTAGTCTCTTTGGTGCTATCCGAAACCTCCGCCGACATTCGGGAAATTGTTTCAAAACCAAGAAACACCAATAACAAACAAACAAGAGATGGGACAATTGAACCACTCAAAATCACAGATGCTTCCAAAATATCCAGACACATGTCAAAAATGAGCAAACTCCGACACATGTTCTGATGAACCCCCACGAAGTAAGAGAAATCTACAGGATGCGAGGGACAACCACTCAAAACATGCAAGCGAAAATTATACACACTTACATGTCCTTTGACTACTTCTCTATAGACATCGATACAAAACAGACATTGATACATGAAACTGTGCACACTTTATACTAAATATATATATATATATATATAGAGAGAGAGAGAGAGAGAGGGTGTAACGGACTGCAGGCCCATGTTTTTCGAGTCAAACACGTGCTTTTCTGGGGTAAACACAACACAACCATGCCTAAAGACACAAACCCGTGCAAAACTGACGTCCACACGGTTCCATCCATCGAAATTATTTTCTGTATGTATGTGTATATATATATATATATATCTACAAAAACATATACATATACATACATACAGCTAAATGTATATGTATATGTATATGTATATGTATAAATGTATACACATATATATATATATATATGTATGCATATGTGAAAATATACAGGGGAAGGATAAGAGAGAGAAGTATAAAAGTGCAGCCAGAGTACTAAGACATAGTTGGTTAAGAAATGCAGCGGCAACGTCAACTCGGTAACGCAAGAAGCATCCACAACAAAAAGAATGGCAATTATCTGACAAACGCAACCTCTTGGGTACATTCTCCAACGAGTCCTGAAGTACGGGGGCTACGTGTCTCATTTTGGCGCGTGGGCTGGCGTGTGCGGAAAGGGGTCGGGAGCTGCAACTGGAGGGTGGGGTGCTGCTGGGGGCGGCCAGAGGAATGAGACCAGAGAGGGCCGAGCGCTACGCAAGCCATAAACCCTATAACGTAACGCGTGCTCCTGTTTTGACGAACCCTAACCTGTACTCTAAACCCTACACCCAAGCCGAAACCCCGCATGAACGCAGGCTCTAGGCCTCAAGCAGAACACAAACAATCCCACTCAAGAAACCCTCGCATTTTGCAAAGAGCACTGCTTGAGCCTGTCAGGAATCGGAGGTCTTGCTCTCCTGGCCGGAGAATCCGTCCTGCAAGCCTTGCGACGATCAAGGCATGCTGGTGGAGATTTTGAATTGAATAGAGGCTGGTGTGGCCATGCAAGGCTTCAAGTCTCCGGCAGAGCTTGGACCGCCGCTTGGACTGGGACCCAGAAGCATCTTGCCTAAACAAAACTTCAAAACTTCACCAGTTCTGCGAAGCCCATACAGAGACTCCTCCTTGAAGCCCTCACCTGGGCTCGGATCACGGCGTGGTCCTTGGCTTTGAAGGGAAGGCTGTGATGTACAATGCGGCGCTGCAGCCTACATTCTCTACACATGCGGGCCGAGGAACACCCTCAGATGTGTTCTTCTTCCAGCAAGGGGGCAGAAGAATCGCAAAGCCAGGGGCCCTGCTGGCTGGGCTCGGCTGCCTTCCCAAAGCTCTCTCGGCTGCCACCCTCAGGTCCTCCAACGCGCACTTTTTGCTTGCATGCTGCATGTGCAATGTACAGAGTTTCTGTTGGGCCTCCTCTTCCTGCTCCAAGCGCCGCAGCCGAGCCTCCCGGGCTCATTGAGCTCTCATCTTGCAGCGGGAGTGGGGGGAGCTTGCTGCGATTTGCCAAGATCATGCGTACCGCGATGACGGCTGTTTCATTCTCCATCCTCCTCAGACTGTCGACAATCGTCCTGCGTAGCTCTCCATAAACTATCTGACCCCCCGTGCACGCAGCCAGAAAGACCATGTCGCAGTGCACACCACGCTGCACCCTCCTGGATGAGCTTATCTCAACTCTCCAGCTGGCGTTGACAAAACAGATCTTCCACAATCTTCCACATACCCTGGGGCAAAATTTCAGATTCAACTCCTAGTCCTAGCCACGACCGGCACCATTTCCTACCGTCGTCCACGACAAAGCGCAGATCCCGATTCAAGCAATTCACCAAGCCAGCAGCATACTGGACCACACACAACCCTGCAAGCAACGGCATGCAAGAGCTTTTGCTTTATCCGAGTCCCCACAACTGTCACTACTGGGACTGTTGAGCCCACAAGCCGGGATCCCAGCGAATTGATGAGCACGACGGTTTACACTCAATCCACAACATCCCCTGTGATTCTTTGGAGAGGTCTCGTGCCGGTGCGGCCTTAGACTTCATTAATTAAAGCACATCTCATCCACAGGAGCCTGAATCAAGATACATCAAGATCTTCCTTCGGCACGTACCACCTCCATTCAATCTATCCACTTAAGCTGAGGTCTGTTGAGTGGCAGCTGCGAATCGTGATCCATTGTGTCTAGTGCAAAGCTAGGCTGGTTAGCTGATGCCATGCTCTGCCTGCTTCGAAGCTTTCGAGCTTTTCGAGGCTGTCTGAAGGCCCCAAGGGTAAAACTAGCCCTTAGTCAAGCACAGCCGCCTGTCCAAGCCGGCTACTTTAGAAGGTTGAGCGGGTTTCTGAGGAGAACTCAATCAAGCTAGATGACGTTGAATTCCACGCGGGGCAATTCGCACCCTGTGCGGGCCTTTGCATGTATGGCAATGCACTTATCCTGAGTTGAACAAGACTGTGCTGTCAAATTCCGAACGCTCTTGCACTGAACTACCAACCTAATTTCAGATCTTTGTGCATGCGACTGCTTTTGATTCTTGGTCTTCCGGATTCACACTGCGGCACGACATACTTGCTCTGCCTGACTTGAACTGGCAGCGAAGATCCTATGACGGTTGGGTGACATCAAGGGCCTGTTCTAGGCGTCTTCGGCGATCATCCTTCTCCTCAGAGGCAGTAGATGGCAGCAGCAACTCCACAAGCGTTGTTGCCCAAACTGCGCCGAGTCAAGGCCTTGCCTGGTAGAGACGAATGTGCACAGGCGCCTGCCAATTTGCAACAGTGAAGGCCATGCAGTGCCAGTGCAGGCACTCTGCACCTCGCGCTCGAGCTTTGGCACATGTTTTCCAGAACTTGGAACTCGCAACGATGCCGAAACCTGGCTGAGTATGTGCGCGCTTCGAGGCAGCTTACAGCGTCCTTCACAGGTTCGAAAGGTGCGAGGACCTCCTGTTCAGCTGCAGCTCCTGAGATGCAAACCATCTCTCGAAATGTGTGCTGCATGGCTACCAGAAGAAGTTACCCCTGAGGGGAGTGCTGACCGGGTGTCTTCTTGGAGCATCCGGCCTCAGTGGCACTGGATTCAAGACGATCTTGACTGTGGCCGGGACCGAGGTTTCCACGTGACGGAGCGCTGTTGCCTGGAAGTTGTCCTCCCGTGCCTTGGCACAGGTGGCAGGTTCACGAAAGCGTCAAGGAAACATGCACATCCCTCGAATTGCAAAGGACCCGCTGCCCGTTTCTGAGGCTCCACAGCCCAGTGCTTCTGGAAGAGCTGGGACCTGCACACAGTTGCGCTTCAGACGAGCGCCGTGCAAAAGGCTGTCAGACTCGTTTGGGGGTTGGAGGCCAAAACACTTCTCAACAGCTCTCGTGAGTAGCGGTCAAAAGTCTTTTCTTTCGAAACTGCTGTTTCTCGCAGTAGCACTCGAACGGGCCGTGGTCTTGAAAGGGTTGAGAGCAATAAATTTAAATGCTGCTTGTGAGTATGCATCAAGTGTGGGTTAACGTTGCGAGGAGCATCTTTCTCATGTGAACAGCTGATTTTATTGGATACTGCGGAAATGTACATGCAAAAGCCACACACTCAACAAATCCTCCGCAGCTGAGGGCAGCCAGGGCAATCATTTTGGCACAAACTACAGCCGCCCAACGACACATCGACCAAACAAATCCGAACAAATGAAAAGCAGACCTTGTCTCTACAATGTAAGTTCGTGAAGACCTTTGAATCAATTGAAGCGTGAAGCGGATGAACCTGTGCTGACACCATCGCAGTATCACTCTCTTGAAGAAACTTTGTGCAAGCTGCTGTTAGTCTGCAGCCGCGGCAGTCTTCAAAGCAGAAGTGCCGCGACATGAAGAAGCTTCAACACCGGCATCCTGGACGAAAACAACTTTGAACTTCGTTGTCTTCGAGAGCTTTGTGGAGCCGCCTGAAAGCTACAAGAAAAGCTCAGAAAGCTCCGCCTGTCTTCTCCTGCCCTGCGCTGGCCTCAGAGCAAACTTGCAGTGCCCACTCTGTTGCAAGGGGCACCAGTTCTAAATCGGAGCTGGGCGAACTCAGGAGCAGATGGAGAGTGATGCAAGGTGCGTCGCGCCGCCGCCTGTCATCTTCAACAAACACCGGAAACGAAGAAGAAGAACAAGATGAAGAAGATGATGATGATGACGACTGCAGGCAATGGTAATAATGCTAGGCCTAGCAATTAAAAAATGCTAATGAGCCATAGCAGCAATAACTAGTAAATAATGATGAAAGAGATTTGTAAGAATGCGAGTAACGAGAGTAATGGCGGCAATCATGCTTCCAATCATAACAGCATTAATGATAAACATGATAAGAATAACAGTAATGCTTGTAGCAGGAACACTACGAATAAAACAATGAAGTACAATAGGACACATGTGCAACCTGCCAGTAATTATCGCAAGTCTCAAAGTTGCAGAAACCCCTGAATACTGAAGTTGGTGAATGGTCGTAGAACCTCATCCATAGCATCCGAAATACATGCACAGGATCACGACACCCTGTGCGGAGGTTGCGACATTCGGACCGCAGTATGTACTTGGCGGTTGGGACGTCATCTCTCCTGCGTCTCCGAAGCTTTGAATCATGGACCTTTGACTGCGGACAGCACTCGTGCGCATTTCCAGGATGACATTTGATAACAGAGCACCTAACAGCCCAAGCCCAAGATACCTGAGGCTGCCAAGACATCCCACGAGAGGCGGGAGCCTCACGAGCCACGAGCCCCGTCCCCTAATGCACATCATTGTGGCGGGAGCACCGTTTTCTTGAAGCGGAAACACGAGAGGCGGAAGCGAACAAGACTGTGAGGGCAAGAGGATGTGCACCCCAGAAAACGCACGGCCCCAGAACGGCAGGATTTAAAGACCCAAGTAAACGAGCCTCATTATGTGGCCCTGCTGGGACTAGCGACGTAGATCGAGCTGAAATCCATAATAAGCCTGGCGGGAGTACGATATCCAGCCCCAAATATGCACGACACTCTGGCAGGAGCGCGACTCATGAAGTTCGCGAACGCCAAGGCTTTGGAATTAATTTACAACGAATTCGGATTGCCCATGCTACCACACTGTTTTGGGTGATCGGAGCTTGTGACGTTAATTGGTTAAAAACTCAGCTGGAACGACCACCTCACAAGTTTTGGATCAGCGCAGTACAGGCAGATTCACTATGTTCAGCTTGCTCTTGCTGGCAAGTTGAATTCAACATGCGGGGCCAAAGACCTCAGGTCTCTGAATGTCAATGTGGATCTCAGAGCTTCCTGCCACTATTGGCATCCTGCGCTGTAGAAGTCTTGGAGAAAACCAGTCCTGGATGTTGCCAGACAGACCTGCGCAGAGACACACACCAACTTTTCTTGGCGTCCGTTGGCTTACCGAAGGCGGGGCCAGGGCAGCTGATGTTTAACGATCCGTTGGGTTCTGGGGTGGAAGCTCGTGTTGTTGGGACCTCCGAATTACGTTTGCAATGCTAGAGATGGTTTTCCCACTAGTCAAGCGCAGACAAAACAGAGCTCTAGGGTAGGCAGCCTCGCTTCTTGCGCCAGCGCTGCCTTGCAAGTATGTGGCATAGCTGGCATCATTCTGCAGGCTGACCATGATGCCAGACTTCATCCAGTTCTGACAGACAGACTCCTTTCCCAGAAGTCGCTGCATTACCACAACCGCTGTCGCCTGATCCCAGTATCTCAGGCCAGACCACGTTTGGTTTTGTGACGGCGCCCAGTATATAACTATGTCACTTAGCAGCTTGTTGGTGCAATTCTGCGGTACGAACGTGTTTGGGTCACTTGGCTCCACCTGCAGATGTTCGAATGCGCTGTCGGGCACTAGAACAATCTCCAGACCGAATGCCCATACCTGTGCTGCGGAAATAGCATCCAGAAAGATGTTCCAAGAAGCATTCTTTGGCTTCTTTTCGGTGCTCCAAGGAAAGCCAGTGGCCAAACCAGGCCTTGACGTCCCGGAACCCCGCAGTGCAGCGCCTGACAGGGCTGTCATCTTTGCTGCTGCGCCCGACTGGGCCCCACCGCCCTCGCCCTCACCCAACCCACCCAACAAAATAGATTCAAAATAGATCAGATATGGTTTGGCCCCGCTCCTGAATGCTCGACTTCATGACTTCCTTGCACTTTGCCGCCTTGCACATAAAGGCATTTCACCTTCGATCGAAACAGTTCGGCGCCGCCACTTCTGTGCAATGCAGCTGCAAGGTTCGTGTATGGACCCAGCTCTAGAATGTGCACGCTGTTGTTCTGCGCGCGGTCCAAAATCTGAAGAATCAACTGCGGTGCAGTCTGCCATGCCGCGGGCTTTGGACTAGGCTCTGTGGCGATCCATCTCTTGAGATAGTAAGTAGATGCTTCCGTCCAGATCTGCGGAGGCATTCCATTGGGATAATCCAAGTTCAAAAGCGTTGAACCCAAATACCCTTCTTGAAATGCTACAGGAATGTCGCTGCGGTTCAGCTTGTGCAGCAACCGCAGGGCATTGTCCACTCCTGCCGACCTCAGGTCTGGGCTTGCGAGGTGCCGCATAGGGACAGAACTTGAAACTCTTCTGGGCCCGAGAATGCCAAAATGCAGGGCTTAAGCCCTACAAACCCTCGACCGACTGTGTCTGAGATTCTCGGGAGGTCCGGAAGGCCTGATGCTAAGGGAGCCTGCCCGGGCGTCAGAGTCACCGAACTGAACCTTCAACACTGGCATGCACGAAGCGACGGTGCGGTTTCTTCCCCACATGGTCGAAGCTCTTCTTGATTGCCGGGACCGTGCCCCTGCATGCCCTCGATCAACTCAATATGCGAGTGAGATCGCCAGGTTCGTGTCGGAATCTTCTGTCTTCCCTGCTCTGCCGAATTGTCCCCTCGTGCCAGAGTGGGCCGTGCCAGACCTTTCTATTTCTATGCATCTGCCATTCGTGCGATGGCCGAATTACAAGCAGTTGGCCACGGCATATCCCATTTTGGTCAACGCTCACTGACTCGCAGTCACTGGCTGCTCATTGTGGCGCTCCTCCATTCTTGCACCTCCACATCAAACAACACCTTCCCCGGCGCGTCGATCTGGCTCACTCACTCGCTCACTCTCTCACTCTCTCACTCGCTGCTACAGGAGGAACACACTGGGAGGATGCAAGGACCGTTGAGAGCTGGTCACACGAGGCAAGCACGGCCACCTTTTGCTGGACTCGGGGAAAATGAGATCAGCCCCGTGAAGACGGTCCGACACTCAAAAGACTTACATGTCACAAACCAGATCCCAACAGAAAGCAGACAAGCCTTGATGAAGCCGGTTGCACATGCACAGCCAGCGTAATCAAAATAGATCAAAACAGCCTTCAGTATTTACAGCAGTGACAGCAGCACAGGAAAATTGCAGTCTAAGTCTCTGTGCAGAAAAGCCGTTGGCACTGACGGTAATACCTTTGATGTCTGCGCCACTTCGGATCAAATAGACGAGAGCCGCCATGTCGTCCTGGTTCATGTCTGTGTCAACGATGAGAGGGGCGCTCCAGGCGATCCCGCGACGGGCCAGCAAAAGAATCCATGCCGCCCAAGCCCTTCGGCTGTTGGCGATCATGGCAAACGGCAAACGAATAATTGAAAAATTCTCTTTAAGCCAGGCAATAGTTGTCAGAGTCATGCTGGCTCAAGTCAGCCCAAGTCAGCCATAGCATCACACAGATCACCGCCTGTGCCCCCTGTGGCATGTTGTTCTCGGGCAAGTTCCAGCTGCTCGAAGCTGGCAACCTCAATGTACAAACTTGCAATAGCGTCTCTCAACTGTCTGAAACCTCCATGCACAACCAAGACACTCGTCGAAGCAGGTTCCAGCATGTTCCAGCCGGATACTAGTAAACACCGACTGACAAACACTTCACGGAGATTACTCTGGATACTCTCTCTGCAGGTTCAGGAGGTGGCTTTCCCGTTTCCCACCGCGAGGTGCTGAAAGGATGTTTTCTTTGGCTTTCGCCCCATCTAGGCTGCGAGAGCGCCCTGCATCTTGACTTGTCGGCTTGACTTGGCCCAGCCACGGTCGGGCAGTGGATGCATGCTGGATGTACTCTTTTGGGGGGATCGCTCTGTGCAACATTCCGCCACGCGTTTCGCAGCGAAATTTCTGGAAAATTCACAGTAAGTCCCCTATCGTGAAGATCCGTGCCAAGGGCAAGGTCCGTACCGGTTGTAGCGACTCATATACCCGTTGCGTCGCGTTCCGCTCAGGATATAGCAGATGAATTTATCCACAAAGGTGGGTTAGGGGTCCGGCCTCACTGCGTAAGATCCATAGAAACCCACAGGCGAGACAGAGCACGAAATGAGATGACGGGTGAACGATTCTAAAGGCCGCCATCTCCATCCAGCACAAAAGGCTGAGTCCCCCCCCTCCCTCCTCCTTCCAACCAACCTGCCTCCTGCTTCGCAGGGCTTTATGACCTTAATGAAGCATTTTACTGTCTGCGAAGACTGGAAACTTCTCAACTGAAATTGGTGTGGTCCTGGCTTTCCCACCCACAAGCACAGGATCACCGGCCCGACAAATGTGATGACTGCAACTTGGTGTAGTAGAATCAGAATCGGGATTGGCATCGGGAAACAAACTGACAGGCGTGCCTCGCAGATACAGACAGTAGCCTTCAGCTTCGCAACCGCATCAACCGCTGTGTGTGTCAGCTAGTTTACACGCTGGCATACGGTGATACATGTGTCATCCCTGCATTGCAGTCTAAGTTTGCCAATTCTTGACCGGGTAATTACGGTGCCTGACGAGCGGTTCGCAAGAGGTTTACATCAAAAGCAATAGGCTTTCACTCAGAAGCAAATCGCAAAGAGTGCAGCTTGGAAACAATCCTCTTTGAAGACCAGGCTCGCTGCGCCGTTCGTCATCGCGGGCTTTTTGGCCGGAAGCGCTGTCAAATTGCTTCAGCAGCTGCTGCCTCAATTCTGACGAGGGGTGCCGTTACGAACGGCGCCTGGAACTGCGCAAGCTAGGAATCTTGCTGTTGCCACTGCAGTTGCTTCTCCTTCTCTTCCAATTCCCTCTGCAGGTCCAATTGCTCCTGCATCGCAGACTTGGTCCTACTCCTCCACATGTAGATATTGGATTTACGCTGCTGTCTCCCAAGTCCGCACCTGGCCTCTGAAGCTGCAACAACAATTTCCCCTCTATTAACTAACTCTGCACATCTCTGCACCAAAGCCAACGAGCAACGAGACTCCTTCAGCTCTCGTTCAGACCTCACAGCTGGCGGGTTGCGATTTGTTGAACTTCACGCAATGATGGCAACTCGGACAATAAACCGCTTGCCGATTTAGCCAAGATGCCACTCGGATGGTCTTGTAGAGTCGTGCCAACCTTGAGCGAAATTCGCGGATGCCCAATGCTTCGTGCAAAATCTGCACCGCTTCAGGCTCCATGCCATTCTTCAGTCGCGATGACCTCATCATCGACTGCTCACAAACGGCATGCTGAGAGTAGCAATCGTTCGCATCTGTCGGGCCTTTGGTCAGGATTGTCGGCTGCCGCGTTTGCCACGTCCTTGGCTTTACTTTCGCTGTTGCTGCGTTGACGTTGATGGCTTCAAATATATTTCGAGCCTGGCCCCAGGCCTGCACACCGGTCTCCGGGGAGGCATCAAAACCTCGCCAGGTTTCGTCCGAACAGATCTTGCAGCCTTTGCGCCAGGCCCATTGCAGCCTGTACCTGCTCCGCGGACTGGAGACCTTGAAACAGCTAAAGCAAGGCGATCTTTCGTTGCTTGAGCACCGGTTCCTGAAAAAATGCATCCGTCAAGTGCCGAGTAAGATAGTGGGGCCTATTTAGATTTCGTTTTGGCTGATGAGCCTTCTAGACACTACATAGCGTCCCTCCTGTGAGATGCAGTAAAGCAGTCGAAAACACTTCTCACCCTGGGACAGGGTTAACCGTCTGAAGCTCGATTGCCTGTGGCGGACTCGCAAAGCACGAACAGGTTGATGAGAGAAAGCATCGGTGCAGTAATGTGGTGCATCGCCAAGCTTCCAACTCGAGGTTTGTGGTCTGCCATCCTGTCTCCGCATGTGGTCAACAGCACATACATAGACTTAGGCATTCAGGCTCACCGAAACCCTGGCATCAACTCTAAGTCATGTATGGAAACAGCCCGCCTGCATTGGTTGTTCGCGGTCCTGCGATAACCTCGCATGGAATCAAACGTTGAGGAAGCCCTGCCCTTCCGACGATCTCACAGAATCTAAGCGAGGACAACGAGCATTACCTGCCTCCGGCAGAGCAGGACCGTCCCTTGGCCGCACCTGCAAAGCACACAGGTTCACCAGAAGCGTTCTGGAACGAACAGCGAGTTCTGCCTGCCTCAATAATGGCAGGATTCTTCGGCGACTCTGCAGTGTCCAAAAAAACCTGTGGCAAAGCTATAACCACACCATGGCGACTTCGCATGTTTTGCCTGCTAAGACGAGTTGCTGCCAGCTCGGCATCAGAAGCCAGTTCAATCAATTTGTCCTCGCACCTGAACGGTCCACTTGTCTAGGATGAACCATGTCTGCAGCCATCACGGCTTAACTCAGACAAGCAGCAACTCTCCAAGAAGTTTGAGTGGGACTTGGTCAAGATGATGTTGTACGGCTTCCAGCTCTTCCTTTCAAGTTCCAAGACTACACCAAAACATCAGATCAGTGAACAAGCTACTTGGTGTAGAACGTGGCACTCCTAAATCGGTATTGTGCCCGGAACACAATAATTTGCTCGCCGAAAATGCATCGGCGGGAGCAGCGCGAGTGAGGGTTAGCATTAGGCAAGCTTCTCTTTGACCACCGACTTGACCGACCCCGTAATGTGCACAACCCTGACATGAAGAAACTAGGTGCTTGGATGCAGGGCATCAGGCAGACAGTGCAATGCCACGCTCGATGCCAATGCAATGCCGGAATTAGACACCGTCGGATGCCTGTTGCTCATACACCAAGTTACGATTCGCATGACGGAGGAATCACACAACACACGGATACCTGCAATGGCTTGGGCTTGAAAAGTCAAGATAATCTGGCCTCCAATTATACGTAGATCAGTGAGACCAGAGGAAAGCCCGGCCACTGTGAATACTACGCAGCCCCTTGGTTGCTTCCCTGCCAACTCCACAGCCCGAAGCCTCGGAGTAGTTGAACTTCTACAAAACTGCGTGCAAGATTCTTCGGGCCCACTGGGCGTGAGCAAGTCATGCCAAAAACTTCGGGAAGCCAGGGATGCCAGACGTGATTTTCATGCAAATATATGGAGCAAAATGACGCTCGCACCACTAGAAAAGAGGTTCAGGCCTGGGGCCTTCCTGCTTTGTTTGCCCGTTTCGATTTGTGCGCACGCCGAAGCTCCTTTCCCAGTACGGAGCCTCCACGTGCAAGTATTGTAAGCCAAAACGCAACATTCCCACCGTGACTGGCCTCTGCCTTGCGGCCACTAAGGTGATCAAGAGTGATCAAGGATGTGTCGATGCGCGCTAGCAGTGAAGAGCTCCGCGCTCGCCAAGGATTTTGTACATGTCGGGACAGCTTGGCGAGGTGTTCACAGCTGGCATGGATCGGTAAATCCTGAACTTCCTTTGCGGGCGCGAGGGGTGGGACCAGTTAGCAGTTGCAGCTCGATGTGGCCCACTTGCGCTGGGAGCTTCTCGCCTCACTGCACACCAATGGAAAAGTAGCGCCAAAACACGAGGTTATCGTTTTCATGTGAGGGGTCGCATTCCAAATTCTAGGTTCCGAGGTCCGGTTGTATGTTCCGGGTCCGCGGTAAGGGTTGCCGGGTTCCTGGGTTCCGGTTCCGAGCTCATGCTTTCCGGGTTCTTTGTTCCGGATCCGATCCGGTCCGGGTCCGCCCCGGACTTTCCGGTTGTGATGCAAACTGCCACCGTCACGTCAGTGCTGAAAAGGGAGAACAAAGCAGAAAAGTCCCAGATCTGAAGCTGTTTGTTCCGGTGGTGAGAAAGTTGGCATCCACCGCGAAGGCCCCGCTCAGCTCGGCCGCGACGTTGGGATGTCGAGAATTTTTTGGAGTGTTCGTTACTGTCGTGGCTAGGCAGCCACCTGTTCGGCTGCAAGGAAGGAACCAGTTGCAGTTCGTTGCACTTCACCTTGCGCCGTTCGCTGCCCGCAAACCTCCTTTCTACTGGTGCTAGATGGACCGTCTTCTGCTGTAGATCAACAGCCATGCAGCTGCTTGTTCTCAGAACTTGTTATCAGCAGGAACTCGACATCACCGACCCGGCTGCAGAACCTTCTGCTTCGGGGCCGCATGAGTCGAAGTCACTGCTGCTACTTGTAGGAGCTCTGCTTCATGCCGGCCCGTTCTTGCATCCTGTCATTCTAAAAATTCGTCTTGGCATCGTCGAGATCGTGACGTTTGCTGCAGGCCCTGCATTTGGCTGCATTTCCTAAGCTTGCGACTGAATCAGGGCCCAACTCCTCACAAGCCGCCTCCTCGGAAAGCTCCTGCAGCAAGCGACCGACAACCTGCATCCGTTTGAAGCAAGGACTGCCATTTCCTTCTCCAGCTTCTCAGGCTTACCATTGCCGGGCGCGTTGTCTAGTTACAGTCGCTGAGTCTCGCATGCGAGCCATTTTTTCATGAGCAGGAACATTGTGTGCCAAAGTAGCCCTCGCCAAATCATCGTCTGCGATCGTCTCAGTCAGTAACATGCTCTCCACAGCCGCAAGGCGGAAAAAGCCGGAGGGCTGGGGAGAGCAAAAACAAGTTATATCACAAAAACCCCCGACATCGAAAATATTGAGTCAAAACTGTAGAGGTCTGTTGACTGACGTCTCAAAACTCTCAACATAACACTTCGGAGCTGCAAGCTCCCAGCAGGTCGACCCCACTAATTTTTCCCGGGATGACAAAAAAGAGACAAGAGTGTTAAGAGTGTCCTGCCCGAACCTGTGACCAGTCACAGACAACGACTCACAAACCCGTGTTACGCAACAGAAAAGCTGAGCTCACAAAACCTCTATCGCCATCTTGCGGTGCATGCTGCATGCTTAGCCACCCATGCTAGCACACACCGACCCTTTCAATCAAAGTATCTCCACAGCGCTGCCTTGTTGAAACCTCCGATTTCTTGCAGAACAGCACAGGCTAGGCCAGATATCGATGCCGGTGCATTGGCTAGACCTGGTCTGCACAAGTCACCCCAATATCGCACACAAAGCCCAAAGCACGACCGAGGGACGGACGGAATGGCTCTGGAGACGCAAAACCAGGAAGGTTCAGTCTCACCAGGATACTTGGCCTACCAGAAACAATACGAACCGGCGCTCACGCCGATAAACTGCTGCTGCCAAAGCTGGTAAGAGTTGGGTTCCGGCATAGCCACACCACTGCGGCGGCAGCAGGGTCCAGCCAATCCATCATGCTTTGTAACGGAAGCAATAATGGAAGAAATGCAGCCAGACTTGCTACGAGCAATTCGGACTCGCTTACAGCACCAGTTCTGGAGCATGACACTTTGGTAAGGTTAAGACAGTTTGAAGTGAAGCAGAAGCTGCTGCTGGACAGCAACAGTCATCTGCCCTTCATGGATCAACATGGCGTTTGCTGGATGGTTAGTAACTCATCTAACAAGCTGCAGACTTTGTCCGCGTGCACGGCGCCATGACGTGCGCTAACCGATGACGACTGCCAGGAAGAAAATCCATGCGTCACAAGCATATCTGAACTGAGAAACCCTGCGCCATGTCCATGGTCTAAGGCAAGTAATTGCAGACCTTGAACTATCTAGCGGGAACACTTGCACAGGAAGAGATCCGCGACACCGTTGCATAGGCCACTCACGACAAATGTCTAACAGGTCTTGCATTCGCAAACCGCAAGGAACAGCTTCCGGCTTGCAATCTTGGTAAGGCTTGTTCAGACTCATAAAGCGACAGACAAACCAAGTGATCAAACTTGAAGCTGAACATGTGAAAAAACAATAGGCCACATGTACCTGAATTACCAAAACTGTCTCAAACCTAGCTCTCCACAGCGCTGTCGCTCCTACACACTTCAAAGCGGATTCTTGCTGGTCCTGCCCCTTGGCAGGTCCACACGGTTGCAAACATCAGCATGCGCTGCGACCACACACTTTCCGCACATGACATGCTTTGCCAAAGACACTGTTGCAGCCTTCTGTCTTCCGACATCTGGGGGGCATTGACGTATCGCTCGCTGGGACTTGCTCACAATGGAATCAGCTTCATCGAAAATTACGGTCGTTGGCTGGAGCAAATCCTTTGAGAAGCTGAGACCGTGCATCATGCGTCTACATCTCTGATACATCCGATCCAGTCCTATGCACGGACGAGGCACAACATACAAGCATGGCACCAACTTCATCGGCATGAGCACATGATGACACGGAGTGTGCCCTGCGTTTCCAGGGTCGAGATATGCACAACAAAAAGGGATGATCCTGACTTCGTTCAGTCAGAACCGACTCAGTGCGCAACATCACCTTGGTTGCTCCGTGATTGACATGCGACGCAGCATACGAACTGGACGCATTGATAAGGACAGCTGCACCTACAAGTAGCATGGAGTTGCATCTGCCTGTTGTCACAATAACACTGCAGCGTCGGTCCTTGCAAAATCTGCTATGCACGTTCTTGCACGAGTGTATTCTTTTGCCATCCACGATCACACCCACTAAGCCCCAGGGCGTGTGCGGCAGTGCAGCTGATGAAACAGGGAAAAGAACACTCCTGCAGGTGAGCTGATGCAGAGGGGATCCATCATGTGCTTCCATGCTGCACGCATTGGAAGATTTGAAAGCGCAGTGTAACTGATCAGATCGAACGGAGGATCGAACGCACAAGGTATCCACCATTCATGACGCTTGGGGTCCTCGAGAGCATGAACTGCGTGCCCGGCCCGCTGCGGCTCTGGCCTAGAAAACATGTCTACGAAAATCTATTTGGGGATTGATGGCACTTTGGGCCGCCAGCCGTCTGCTGAAGTCACATGCGTTATCATCGGGGCCTTATATCTGCAGTCGATGCAGCTTTTCGCATTAACACCTGTGGCTCTCGCAGATACTGTGCCTCCACCACATGCTGCAGCGAGAAACCACGCCTCAGCTGGGGCTGCTTGGCACAACCGTCCAATTGAAAGCAATTCAGAGATTGGGAAGGCTGGGCCACCCACATGCCGAAGTACGACAGGACAGATTGCATGCAGTGCGAAGTGGCCTGCATGAGATCAGCTGCAAGCCAGTCGGAGTTATTCAGAAAGCCCGTGCCTTTCTTTGCTTTTCTGCATGCCTAGCTGAGCTAAGGGATGAGGCCTTGAATCGCTTTGTGCACGTTTGCTGGTCAAGCCTTGGCTGGAGAGATGCCGTTTCTAGGGGTCCGCACTGGCACTAGTCACTAGTCTCAGAAGCAGGAAAGGCTTGCGAATGTGCAGCGCCTTCGAGTACAGATGTCTACAAGGTGCTTCGAGTTTCCTAGCTTCGATGAGCTTTGAAGGCATCGGCATGTCCCTGTCCGAAGAACCGCAACGGCGCTGAAAGGCTCAGCTCTGGGACTTAGGCCAACGAGCGCTTGGTGTCAGGCGGAAGGCCGCCAAAGTATTTGCAGAGTCGGAAGAGGCCTTGATGATCGCGGTCCTTCAAGGGCGATGCCAGGACCAAGAGCATGTCCAAAAAAGTTGCCCCCGGCCCTCTCCTCTCGGATGGTCTGCTCGAGACAATCCACATAAATCGAGGTGTCATCTTTGTGCTGCCAAACGGACACCTCAGCAGCAGGGCTAAAGCTGAAGAGCTGAAGCCCCATCATGTGGCTTGCCGCTTTCCCAGTGGCACGCTGTGGCGCGCACATACTCGGTGATGCGGGGTACCGGCAACTGCTGGTTTCCTTCCAACCCGTAGAAGCTGGCCTGCGACGCGTGAGACATCTAACTCCGGCATGCATGGACCCAATCCACAAAAAGCAGACGGATCCTGTCCTCTGCCCTGATGGCATCTATGAACCTGACAAGCGCACGATCACTCTGCTTACATTTCGTCGCCCACTTGGGGCGCGGCTCGAGGTCACAGGCTTTCTCCCCCAGAAGCCAGAAGCCCTGCAGGATCAACAAAGCATGTGCTCTGAGCTTCGCGTCCAAGCGTTTGAGCCGCCTCATTACCCATACTTGCAAGCCGAGGTTCCGTGCGCAGGTATTCGAGAACATATCTGAACAGAAAACCCGATCGGTCCACGAAGTAGTGACCTGACAGCAAGTCCTTGAGATGACGTAAACTTGCACAACTGAGAACGGGCAATGCAGACAGTCGGCCTTCGCTGTCAACAGTTGCACCAAAACCCTCAGCATCAAGCAAGTTCTACAACTGCCTATTCTCTCCTTACTGCAACTTTCGACACAGCATGCTTGCACTCCGAGATCTGCACGCCCTCCACAGTGTGTCGCAACATGGAATCAAAAAAAGGAGCCTGCATCAAGGTCTGCACACGAAGATAGCCATGGCTGCACTAATCCCGCATGCTCCAGGCCAGGCAGCATAAAATCGTGCCGGAAGGAAGGTCAGACATGCAAGCCCGCAATCCACACATATCCACACAGATACAAGACTGGTTAAACCCCAATACAATCTGCAAGGCACGCGTGAAGGAGAATCCTATGGTCAAGACATGAACTGCCGCTTCAAAGGCGGACTCTCGGACAAGTTGGCTTGCCCAAAGGCTCAAAGGCTCAACACTCGGCAAAATGCAACGGCGCTTCACACGCCTTCCGCAAGGTACTTGGCGTTGTCCTGCACACTTCCGAACCAAGGCTCTGCGTTTGGACTTTCGTAAGAGCAAACACTACTAGTACACTCGCAGACGGCGACACCTGAAGAGAGTGCCTCCCACCTGAGCTCTACTCTACCCACTCTACTTTCAGCACCAGCTGACAGCTTCTCAAGGCTTCCCTGCTTGGGTCTCAACGTTGAGGACCAGGGCCGGTCCGAAGAGCTCACTTCTGCCGGCCTTTCGCACACTTTCGTGCGGAGCATCTTCACAGACGGAGTTCGGAACCAAGGCAGAAACCTCATTCTCCTGCAAGCGTTGTGTGCTTCCCGGACTTCGCGAAACCTTGAATACCGCCAATTCCAAGATGATGCAAGGCCATGCATAAGAAGCACGGCGGAATTTCAGTGCCCAACGATCCGTCCAAAGTCTGGGAAGGTCCGACCTGCACCAGTTGAAGATCTCCCAATTATTCGACGCGTGCTCAAGCGATCACGGAAAGCATCATCACACGCACGCGTCTCCTGGTGGTGACATGGGACCACGGCGTATATCGATCTTACGAACCCCGTACGCATGCCAATCGAGGAATATTGAGGAGGTCCATTGGTGCGATCGGTGCCCGTGCCGATGCCGCAGTTGTGCGCCTGACGCCGGTCGACTGAATCGCCACCCGGTCGAACCGGTAGTCAACGTTTGCAAACATTCTTCAGTCGCCCCACGATAGGCGGTTCAGCTCAGGTGTCCGAGATGTGCGCAGAACGTAAAGCATTAGCCATCGACAGAACGTTCACGTCACATCACGTCACAATGCCTGGCCTCCAGTCTCTTGCCATGCTGCAATGCACTCTGTCAAGTCTTTGTGCTCATCATAGCTTGCCGGCCACAGCCTAAAGCGCCGACACAATGTGCACCAAACAGACAAGACATCCAGAGGGCACTGCACTCAGAATCAGTAAAGCCAAAGCCCAACGCTCTCGGCTCTTTCGCTGCTTTGCTCTTCGCAAGGCTCAGCCCTGGTGCCGGCCGTCCAGCGTGTGCCGCGTCCCAACGTGATGGATGCACGTGCTCGCTACTAGTTACTAAGTTACACTAAGTCACACCAAGTTGCACTAAGTTACTAGTATTGCTGCTTGCTTGCTGGTCAGTCTTCGGCTCTCGCTTCGCTACACACTCGAACTTCTTTAGAGTCGGCATCTGATTGTCCCTCAAGTTTCGAATAAGCGAAGGAAAGAGCGTAGCGGTTTGGCTACAACTCTCATACCTCTTCAGCGTATCAAGATTCTGCAAGCAACTGAGCGAAGGTCAATATTGTTGTTGCCAGAAGCGGTCCCTAGATAAGGGGCATCGTTTTGGGGCTTCTCCTACTAGCATTTCACAGGACTTTAAGCACATAGCTACATCGGCGACTCATGTTCCACTGCATGTAGTACTGGGCACCCAGAGAGCTTTGGCAATTGCAACACAAGTGCTACCCACGCTGCAGTGTAAAGGGCATCTCGCAAAAAAGGCTCCTGATCGATTTTGGGGGCATCCTTCGGTTATCATTTGCAAAACAGGGCCGGCGGTGTGCTGCACTCGCGCCACTCGCGCCACTCGCACCAGTTGCACCACTTGTACCACATGCCCCACTTGCACTACTTGGAAGATTTCTTCTTCACCACTTGCACTAAGACTTGCACCGCTTGGACCACTTGCACCACTCGTGCGCACACTCGAGTGGCAAAGTAACTCAAGAAGAATGAGCTCCAAAAATTCTGTATACGCAAGGGCGGGCATCACGGGAAAATAAGCATCAGAACAGGCCGGACTCGCCCGCAGCAGACAACTGCAGGAGAGGAAAGCAGCAAGAGGCCCCCGGTGTTCGCTTGCAGCAGCACTCCCGGCGCAGACAGGCCAAACTTTAAAACCCTAAACCCGATGCGCACACGCGACGCGCCCCCAAACGCGCCGGGAACGTGTAACCCAAAACCCTCAAACCCTAACCCTATAACCCTTAAACCCCAAACCTAAAGCCCTAAACCCTAAACTGATGCGTGGCCGGGCGCAAAAGTGACCATCTTCGGCCTCCCCATGTTGCAAAAACGAGAGCTCTGAGCTACTTTGCGAACCCCTAAATGGCCAATATTGTTGATCTCGGACCACTTAGAGCCTCCTCAAAAGCCACCAAAATTGGTGCAAGTGATACGAGTGGTGCAAGCGGTACAACTGGTGCAAGTCTTAGTGCAAGTGGTGCAGGCTAAGATGACCGAGATGACCAGGTTGACGCGTCATCTTGCCCCCCCCCCCCGAAGTCTTTCTCTCCCAGCAAGATGATCAAGTTGACTGCAGCGACCAATATGACAAACACGACTACCAGTTCTCGTTATAGTAGCAGTAGTAGTAGTCGTCGTCGTCGTGGTACTTGAATACTACACTACGACGACGACTACTACTAAACTACCCCTGCTCTTAGTTGTAGCTGCAATAGGGCTCGTCGTGCCGGTGGTGGTAGCATTGGTAGCGCAGCATTGGTAGCAGTGACAGAAGAAATAGAAGTCGTGGTGGTAGTAGTAGTAGTAGTAGTAGTAGAAGTAGTAGTAGTAGTAGTAGTAGTAGTAGTAGTAGTAGTAGTAGTAGTGGTGGTAGTAGCAGTAGCAGTAGCAGTAGCAACAGCAGTAGCAGTAGCAACAGCAGTAGCAGTAGCAGTGGTATAGCAGTCCGTAGGAGTCGTAGTAGTAGTGGTAGTAGTCGTCGTCGTAGTAGCAGTAGTAATAGCAATAGTGGCAACAGCAGCAGTAGCAGAAGTGGCAATGTGCATACCACTGCTCGTCTTGCAAGGCAAGCAGGCATCAGCCAAAACAGGGACCTCCTGAAGACTGTGGAGATGCTCGGAGACTTTTTGACTTTCCGTCAACTAGACTTGCTTTGCAAAGCAACACGCATGAATTTAGAGCCCAACGCTTGGACCGACGAAAGGCTTCTGCCCAATCCAGGCGAATGTCTCAATGCAACCTGCCACTCACTGCGAAATCAGTAAGCACAGCTGACAACAGGCGCCTCAGAGGGAGCTACGAGGCCATCAAGCGATTCCTGCTCATTCGAAGGAATGCGATTCGTTACACTTGACACCGCGGTCGACTTTGCACGGGCCGGGCCTCTCCGCTGCCGTACCTGAACGTGCACAGAGCTCCGCGAAGCTGGGACTCCAACGTTGAAACGTCAGCAGAACATGAGCGAGTCTGTGAGGCGCGGACAAAGCCTGCTTTACCAGCGTGTCGTCCTGTGAAGAAGCGGGGGAAAGCTAGCAGCTAGCAATTCTGAGTTTGCCAGATCACAAGCAGTGCCATCTGTCCTCGTGCAGCCAGGGATCTAGAGCCATTCTGCCGCATGCCCCATTTGGCAACGACAGTGAAAGAACAGTGCCGGCATCCGTGACAGCTGACCATATGATGTGTGTGTGTGTGTGTAGAACAGTTGGCGATGCAGACTCATGCAGTAATTGCCTGGTTCTCGGATGGTGAGATTCGTAACTCAAATACCAGATATCACAATCCAAGGATGTCGACCACGAAGGCCGCGTCTTCACGTGTAGCATTGACGCTAGAGGCTAGACCAGCACGATGTCTGGCAGTCTAGCTATCCGGTTACTCCGGTTACCTCGTCGGCCTTAGCTTTGGACCTGCGCCTGGTGCCTTTGCCCGTGGTCCCTTGTCCTCTTGTTCTCGCGGCCCTGAACACCACTTGCCGTGTCGCATGCAGAAAAGAACACCTTTGCCAAGCGCGCATGCTCTATGTGGCTTCGTCTCTTTAGGGGATATGTTCGTGAAACAAAACTAATGATGACATTCTGAGTCCGTTTGCTTTGCAAACACGACCCGAAGGAAACTCCAAGCACGTGGGGCATGAATTTCGCGTTCAAGATTAAAGACGTCCCTGTCTGCGACTGAGGAAAATTCAAATGCCCACCATGCCCGAAGCTGCACCATCAGTTTTCACCTGGCAAGATTTGATGGACATCATTGGAAATCCCAAAACGTCCAACCCTAAACCGGTACGGTTCTGCACAGTTCTGCACCTGGCCGGCGTGAGGTTTTTGTAGCTCGCCCTGAAGCCAAGCACCAGCGAGACACGCGGATTTAACTACTCTGAGTCTCTTTTGGCCGGAACACCTCTGGGCTTTGGCAAAATGTGCTTTGCCAGGCACAGCCTGCTCCGCAGGGCCTGAAGGCAAAGGCTCATGCTTGCCTATTCCATGCACTTCCCTCAACTTCAACCTCATGCGCCCTGTCGTATTGAGAACCCATCCGCTTCGCACTGCTGCCATCGTCCTTGCCATCGCCATCTTCTACCTCACTTCTCTGACTGTTTACATTTCATCAGCATCCAACAACTCTGAGGGATACACCAGAAGCACATGTGACTCCACGGATTCAGCCGGTAAAATTCCATTCGCCTCAAAACGAAACTGCGATCACCCAAAGATTAGCAGCTTGAGGACTCACTCGGGAGCACCATCTCTTGCGCAAGTTTCGCATCATTCTCTTGCTGCGCGTTGCCCTGACATCCAACACAACTATGGAACCATTTGCTGCACCCTCATGCACTTCGAACATGCTGCGACGCAGCAAAACAGCACTGCACAGATTAAGCGAGAGGGAGATGCGATGATGTTCTCCTTTATCTGATTTTTCTGCCGCTGCGGGACGCCGAACCTCAGTGGAAGCATTAAGCCGAGAAGCCCAGATGAATGCTCCCTCACTGGGTTGCTCGATAAAGCCAGATAAAGCAGGCAGTGGACCCTACCCCTACCTGAAGTGACCCTAGTAACATACAGAGTAATCTTGTCAACTAGTGGATAAGTGAGGGGGAAGGGGGTCAGGGGCAGAATATATGGTATTGACACCCAAAAAAAGCGTTAAAACTCGGGGGGGTACCATATAAGTATGTATATACATACACATATGGATTATACTACATAACATCTATATCTATATCTATATCTATCTCTCTCTCTCTCTATATATATATATATATATATATAGTTCTCTATATATACATGGTCTATAGCATACTGTATATAGACTGTGTATGTATATATATATATATATATATATATATATATATGTATTTATTTGCATATATACATATATACATATAAACATATATACATATATACATATATACATATATACATATATACATATATACATATATACATATATACATATATACATATATATATATATGTAGAGCATATTTACATACATACATACTGCATACATGGATATATATATATATACTATATATGTAAACCGTATGTATATATATAGGCTCTATATTAATTCATATTACATATATACATATATACTATATATCTACTACTTCTATATACGCTAGATATACATACTCTATAAATAGATATATATATATATATATATATATACATATACATATGCTCAAGCCCCCCCACCCCCCATAATCCACCCGAACCTGCTTCTTGCAAACAGTGGATCATGGGAGGTGGGCAACCTCGAATGCGAAAACATCGCCAGGCTCCAATTGCCCCAAAGTTTGCAAAGCTGGAAGTGCGAAAGCATCGCCAGACTCCAATTTCCCCAAAATTCCCAAACTCTGAGCAACTACGGCCCCGCACGCCTCATAGATGCCCGGATTTTGGTGATTTTGGGTAAATTGGAGCCTGGCGATGTTTTGGCACTTCCAGCTTCACAAACTTTGGGGAAATTCGAGCCTGGCGATGTTTTGGCAACATCGGATGCGAAAACACCCGCCAGGCACCAATTTCCCCAAAGTTTGCAAAGCTGCAAGTGCGAAAACATCGCCAGGCTCCAATTTCCCCAAAATTCCCAAACTCTGAGCAACTACGGCCCCGCACGCCTCATAGATGCCCGGATTTTGGGGATTTTGGGTAGATTGGAGCCTGGCGATGTTTTGGCATATCCAGCTTCACAAACTTTGGGGAAATTCGAGCCTGGCGATGTTTTGGCAACATCGGATGCGAAAACACCGCCAGGCTCCAATTTCCCCAAGTTTGCAAAGCTGGAAGTGCGAAAACATCGCCAGGCTCCGATTTCCCCAAAATTCCCAAACTCTGAGCAACTACGGCCCCGCACGCCTCATAGATGCCCGGATTTTGGGGATTTTGGGTAAATTGGAGCCTGGCGATGTTTTGGCATTTCCAGCTTCACAAACTTTGGGGAAATTCGAGCCTGGCGATGTTTTGGCAACATCGGATGCGAAAACACCGCCAGGCTCCAATTTCCCCAAAGTTTGCAAAGCTGGAACTGCGAAAACATCGCCAGGCTCCAATGGCGGCCCCGCGCGCCTCATTGCCAGGATTTTGGGGATTGTAGTAGTTGGAGCCTGGCGATGGTTTGGCACTTCCAGCTTCACAAAGTTTGAGGAAATTCGAGCCTGGCGAGGTTTTGGCAACTTGGGGTGCGAAAGCACTGCCATGCTCGAATCTCCTAGATTCCTGAACTTGAAATGCAAAAGTCATAGAAGAAAAGCCGTACAATGTACTCATACATGAGCCTTCAATTGCTTCAGTTCCCAACTGTGCTCTTGCTTCTTTCATCGAACAAAGTCATAGCTGTTGTTAAGTTAAGATCACCTTTGCTCAATAAAAGAAACAGAACAACAGCTGTACTTTATAATGTTGAAAACTGCCTGCGTTTGTGGATGCTTTAGAACGTTAAAATGCGAATGCACATGTTCGTTGAACTGTACATCATGTTTATATACTGTCGAGTTCCTGTTTCTGCATCGAAGTAAGATCTTGCCAAAATTTTACACTCTTGCCCGTTGATTGAACCAGGAAGACGTATTTCTTGTGTTTTATTTTACCTCACAAACTAAAGAAGCTGATAAGCTCCGATATTTCAGATCATTACATATAAAGTGAATTCCCCAATGGCACTGTCCTGCCTTATTCCTTTGGGGTTACCTTATTCAAAGTGAATACCAGGAAAAAAGGTACCATTCAGGCGACACTGGTGAACCTGGTAAATGAGCTTTCAATTGCTTCGATTACTGGCGGTACTAACTCTTCTCTCGTGGAGCAAAATCATAACCGAATCAAGGTCAACCTTGCTCAAGAGGTAAGTCAAGTGTTTTGTTTGTTTTCCTCAAAGCATAATGAGAAAAGATGTGTTTCCACCACTTCTCGGAGGCTATGAGGAGAGGTCTGGAGTTGTTTCGTGCCGTATTCAAAGATGGCAGGAGCTATATCACTCTTGTGAGTAGCGCGGTGCAACGGGGCGTGGTTACGTGTTCTGAGCCAGGATCGTCTTGCATCTTTTAATCAGAAAAAACAGCAAATGTGTTCAGAAGAATAACGAATGCTTTGCAGATACATGCTTGTCTTAATTCCCACAAATTATAAAGCGTAAGAAGCTCGACATACTCTGCTTGTGACCGAATGTATTTGGAGTTTGGTGGAGGGAGACCACTTCTTTCCCTAAACACTCCGATTTTGTGGTATTGGTATACTGTAAGAGCTCGTTGAGTTCCAGCCACTGAGTTCCAGCAACTGATAAGGGGCTAAGGTGTCTTACTGTGTTTCTTTGTGCTGAAACAAGATTTCTAAAGACAACACCACCTGAAAAACAACAACCATGCTTCCCTTGTCTGTTGAAATTTTGAAGACATAAAGTTGTCCTGGGTTTCTTCAAGCATGAAGATACACGGAGGTTCCTTTCCATGTCTGATGGGCAACACCTCTGTTTAGGGTGGTTACACTGTTGCTAGTAAGCCAAACATACCACTGGCATGGCATGTTTGCTTTCGCTGAAGGAGTTGTCCTTACCCCTTATGTTATGAAAGAGAAGAGCAGCTGTGTCTATTCAAACTGTACATCTTAAGTAGTTCGACAAACTCCAAAGTCCAGAACCGGAATCTGGTTTCGGTTTCTGCTTGTTTACCTATGATATAAAGGAATAGAAAAGTCGGGTAGACATGTACATGAAGTGCAGAACACACCGTGAATTCCGATAGATTCGGACTCTAGGACTAAGCATTTTGGGAAAGAAGACTGCGCAGGAGTATTGACAAGAAGGCTGGGGTGGATCATGGGGGGTGTGACCATATGTATATATATATATATATATCTATATGTATATACACTATATCTGTATAGTCTGTATATACTGGATAAACTAGATATACTTTACATACTGTATAGACTATATACTATATGCACTCTATATGCTGAGTGTACTATGTACACTATATGTACTGTGTATATACATATGTATATACACACTAAAATGTGTATATAAGTTTATGTATATATCTGTATGTATGTACGCATGCATGTATGAACGCGAGTATACTATATACACTACACTGTATATATACATACGTATATATATATATATGTACTGTAAATACTATATGTACTGTACACACTACATATACTACTATATACACTATATATCAATATGCTCGTTTGTAGGGTTGGATCCGCGGGGGCTGGATCAGTGGGCTTGGCAAAAACCAAAGTTATCAAAATCAGAAGTCAACCTGAACAAAGACTTATTGGATACGTTACGACACGGTAGGTTTGTCCAGAATTAATGTAACTGGAGATTTGCAGACACTGAAAATTGTTGAGAAAACCATGAAAAAATGTAGTATTATTTCTGTCCAAGCCGGTGTGTGAACAGAGCAACCGGAAGCTGTGCCATTCCAGTGACTCCTTGCACCGACATTGGCACGTCGGGCAAGGTCACACTAGATGGCTGGCCTTTGTGTCCCCAAGCAAGGAAACTTGATGGCTCTTCGGGTGAGAGCCCGGCAACACCAACAGGTTTTCGCAAGGCTGAGGACGTCTGTGCAAGAGCCGGCAGAAGCTGCAAAGGTGTGACTCCCAAATTGTCAACAAGAAATTGTTCCTCAAGTGTGTTCACTTGTGCCATGCCACTGACCCCTTGCACCGACATGGGCACATCGGGCAAGGTCACAGTGGATGGCATCTATTGTTTCCTCACACTGCTCAGAACAACCTGTCAACTTAAACAGGTTGCTGCAAGGTTGAGGAAATCTTGAGTCAGCATGGCATTGCTTGGCAAGGTTGACGATTCGAATTGAGGAAATCTTGAGGAATCCTCCTCAAGTGGGGCAAAGAAGGCAAGAACGACGTCCAAGGCCCTGATTTGCCGGCGCATACTCATTCACTGAAAGAGCCATATCAATTCTGTTCCTCCAAGTGTGTTCACTGAGACAGCCACATCGACATAAGGCTGCAAGCAAATCAGACTTGTGTCTCAATTGTTATGCAACCTTCTCATCAGTCATCGCACTGTTTTACCTGTGTTGCTGCATGGCCTGCTGTTGCTGTTGTGTCACAGCATTCACACCCCAAAAACCAGTCACAGCAGATTGGCTTGAATAATAAAAAGCATGCAGCTCAGTAAGCTATGAAACGTATTTTGGCTGACGAAGCGGATCGTCACAATAGATTCCGGACAATCTGCGCAACTGCTTCCCCGAACATCGAAGTGTATTCCCCACTAGCCTGTACATCTGCTGGCACACCGGTGAAACGGCCGTCTTCGCCTCGGTTTACCAGACCAATGAAAGCATTATGATCTGGTTTGGGCCTGGCCAGGTTCTCAAAATGAAACCCAGGCAAATGCCACAGTTGCAAGGGCTTCACTGACTTTCCGTTAAAGGCACCCATGTAGGTGCAAGTCTTTTCGAAGCCAC